CCGCCGCTGGACAAGGTCCTTTCAGCCCGGAGCGCCCGGGCCGAGCCCTGTCGTGTCGTGGGGGCGCCAGGGTAGTGCAGGAGGCAGGAGGTCCCGAGTCGGGGCTGGGGGAAGGCGGTGGGGGAAATGGGTCCGAGGTATCACTTATTCTCTTTTATTAACTCTGAGTAGAACAAAGAGCTCAGGCGTGAGGCAAGACCAGCATCAAGACGTGCGATCGATTCATCCAAGGCTCCCCGGCGACCCGTCTCAGCCCAGAGGGGCTTGGCGTGGCCTGCCCCGCCGGGGGATGCCGAGCATGAAAGGCAAAACCTGGGACCCAAAGAGGAACGTGGCTGCACGGGGACCGTCGTCGTCGTCGGGCATCCCCTGCCGAGTCCCGTAATAAATAGTCCTCTCGTGATGGAAGCCAAGGCGCAGTGGATGGGGAGAAGTGAGGGTGCGGCGAAGAGACAGGATGGATGCCTCGAGGAAGGTGCGGCGCAGGAACCGGGAGTTTTCCTGCGCGCGGGGCGGCTTTGTGCACTCCTGCCGGCAGGCGGTTCTCCCAACCGCCGCTAGGGGGCGGTGCTGTCCTGGAAGCATTCCAGGGCCCGGAGCAGGTCGAGACAATGCCTGGCATTCTCTCTCCACCCTCCACAGCCCCAGGAATTTGGGGCTAGATCAGAGACAAAAGCAAGATATCCTACCTCCTTTATATTCCTGAAATCAAAGTCTGGGGGTTGGCGTGGAAAGGGAAAAGGGAGGAACAGAGATCATGAGTTGTCAGACTGAGGTTCCAGTTAAACCCACAGAAACCTCTGTGCCTTCCCATCCCCTGTCCTTTGTCTAGTCGGCTTTTGGCTTCTCCCAGCTGTACCCGACCCGCGCTGGTCCTCCAAGCCCAGGACCACCTTCTATAACAATCACAGCTTCACAAACCCCAGGAAGGTGCCGTGTGGAGAGAGGCTAAGTTTTGCCCTTGCGCGGGGGACTGTGACACTCAGAACGTCCCCTTGGTGTAAATGGAAGACACCTGAGAAGAGAGAGGAAGCAGATGCTCAGGGAAGGACAGCTATGCAGATGCTCTGAGGTTTTGCCCTCCCCCAGCTCAACCTTTTTCTACTTCCTGTAAGGATGTAGGTATTCTCTCCGTCATTCCTTAGGTCCACCTCTACATACACAACCCCCTGTCATAGCTCTCCCACCACTACCCCCAGTCAGATAGGCCCGGCTCTTCTCAGATCCCTCTCCCCACTGCCCACCTGCGCTGTAGCAGCTGTTGTAGGCCCAGTCTGGGTTGGAGGGCATGCTTCGTATACAGCGGAAGAGGGTCTCCTGCTTTCCCTGGCCCTCCCGAGACACCACTTGGCCCATGGTGAAAGTCACATCGTGAAACAGCACCTGGCAGGGAAGGGAGGAGGCGCTGAGGAAAGCAGGATGGTACGGCTCAGTTCTGAGAGGCCTCGGGGCCCTGCCAAGGAATGGAGGAGGGTCTCCTAAGTTTGGTGTGAAGAGAGGGTTGAGAGCCCTCAGTATTGGAGCATCAGGCTCTGGAAGAACAGGCTTCCAGGCCCCCATGTGGGGCTCGACGTTCGTTGGGGGTTACCTGGCTATAGAGCAGATACACTCCAGCATCCCAGACTCGAACAACGTATCCTTGGGCCTCCAGACCTCTCCCGCGCTTGAGAGCTGGTTGCCACATCAACTCTGTCACATCAGAGTCCTCTGGAGGTGAGGAGTGCGGCAGTCAGGGTTTCTGTGCATCCTCACTGTTCACCTCTACGATTCTCTCGGGCCGGTACCAGCCCCAGAGCTCCCAGATCTTGCCTCTCCCCAAAAGCCATTTAAAATAGTGCTCACCCTTGGAGGTCATGTTAAGGGGAACAAGATGCAGAACCGAGTGCTTCCCTGAGGAAAGAAGGAGATCTCAGCAATGCCCACCTACCCCACTTGCCCTGCTGTCAGCCCTCCACCCTCACCCCGACTTGGGGTGACCATCTCCGAGTCTTCATGCCGCTCAATCACCTCCCACCCCGCGGCACCCCGAAGGCCTCACTCTTCTGCTTATGGGGGAGCACTGCTCTCTTTCTCCGGGATCTCTCTCCATTCTCCAGGGCTTCCGGGCTGTCAGGGCTCTGCTCGGGGAAAGAGAGTCAGGGTTAGGCCAAGATGCAAGGGTCCCAGGCAGCCTTTCTCCCCAGCCCTCCCCTGCCCAGGAATGCCCACATCTCAGGCACCTTTCCCCAGCAGCCTGAGGCTTGGTGCTGGCTGTCCTCCAGGATCTGGTAGGTACAAGAAGCATTAATCTTTAACAATTTCCTTTACTGGAATGGCTGCTCTCTTGACCTCCAAACCCGGGACCCTCTCTTGTACCCACTGCAAACATTGCAGACCCGAGGCTGGGACCAAGAGTGCCAGAGACGACCCTGCCACCAAGCCCTCTCTCCCGCCACCCTCCGCCCCTCACTCACCTGCTCCTGGAGGCTCAGCCATGGGTACCCTTCCCCCTTTCCAGAGGGCCCTCCAGTCCTCTGCAGCTGGGCCACCTCTCTTCTTAGGATTTGCAGCTCTGTTTGTTGGATCAGCAGAGCCGTGGCACAAGCCACAGCCCCCAAAGCCGCCCCCCAACTCAACCAGAGGGCAACTGAGAGTCCCGGCTCTCGGACCCGGCCCCCCATGTCTCCCGGGGGCCCTCTGGGGGCTAGAAAGGAAGGAGATGAGGCTGGCATGAGCTGGGGACCCTGCCAACAGCGGTGGCTTCAGGAGTGGGTGGCAAGGAGGTGCAGGCAGTGGTGCAGAAGGGAGAAGGGCGTTACGCAAGGGAGAAATAAAAAGGAACTTGAGAATAAAAAGGAGGGAGGAGGAAAGCAAGCTAGGGCCCTGGGTGCTCCTGGCACGCTGCTGTGGGGCCAGTGTTGCTGGGACCCCCACCCTGCAGCCTCCGGAGAATGTGGTGCCAGTCCCTCGAGGAAGCACAGGGCTGCGGTGGCACCCAGGAGGCACCCAGGAGGAGCGGCCAAAGCACAGGCACCCTGGGGCGGCCCCAGCAGTGGGGGAGGGAAGGTTGGCTGGCGGTGGGGCATGGTGCCAGGAGCAGGGATGAAGGGACAAGCTGGGCAGTGTGGAGGGTCAAGGGATGAGGGTGGAAGACCCTCTGGCTCAGGCCGAGGAGCGAGCTCTGGGGGAGTTTGCTAGGACTGACTGAAGGTAAGAAGGGAGGGGAGAGGGCCAGCAGGGAGGCCCAGGGTCTCTGAAGCAAGAAACCGGCCGAGCTCTGGGGTTAAGGCCAGGCCGGGTGTGCTGGAATAAGGCCGGCACTGCTCTCTGTGCTGAACTTGGCAAACACGACTTCCTGTTTCCCGAGAAAAGCTCTTACGTAAGGTTCTGGGTGAAGCGAGAAGAGACAGCCCCAAGCACCCTACCATCGTAGGGTTCCTCCCCGGGATCCTGGGGTCGAGGTTCCCATGTTCCCGGGCCCCAGTGTCCTGCTGACTGACCCTGAAGCCTCCTTGAGGCCTGCTCCCACCCCACATCGAGCCGGGGCTCTGTGCCAGCACCTGCCCATGTCCCGAGGCTGCCAACAGGAAGGGCCCCTGTTCCGCCCGCCAGGGATTCCCCGCGGGAGGAAGCCCGCCTCCTAGGTAAATGAGGCCGCTTCTGCTGGACCTTGGGCAGAGGATTGATTTTGTTTCCTGGCTCTTTGCCTTTCTACACTCTGCTCACACCTCGGGGGCCGGAGGCCTATGGGTCCCCTCTCGCAAGTCTGCATGCGGACCTGGAACCCCAGGTGTCCTGCACCCCACGCCCCAGTGCCCAGACCCCCTTCTCAGGGCTTGCAGTTCCCCTGAGGAGGCCCCTTAAACACCCAATAAAGAGAGCAACCATGACTTATTCTCTTTAATTTCTACTTATCAACATTTTGTCACAATAATAATAAAAATAATATCTGTTTTAAAAATCCACAGGGAACTATCAGGGGAGGAACTTGTCTTGGTCCCTTAGCCCTCACATTTGGGAACTCTTGGCCTAGTCCCAGTCTCTCTGGTATCCAGCTTCTCTTAGTGCCTGAGAGGGGTATTGGGGACCCATCCTCACCCAGAGTATAGTAAACAGTGTACCAGGGGGTGGCAGCCAGGGTGGGGAGTCAGGAGATAAATGGGGGTGTCGAAGATCAGGGGTTTGGGAGCTAGCGAGGTGGAGAACCAGAGGTAGGGGGAGGGCTCTTCAGAGACGAACGGGAATATTTATGTTGCATGGAAAACACGTGAACAAGCCCTGGCAACGTACCCAGGGAGAGGCAAGTCTGAGGGGAGGAGCAGCTTAGGGTGGGGCCAAGGGGACTGGGGTGCTCAGAGAGTTGTTGTGGGGAGCCAGCAGCCTGGGAAAACCACTGCGAGACCAGGGCCCCTCAGTGAACTTGGAAGAGTCCAAAGTAGGTAAGGAAAGGGGCAGCCTTGAGATGGGCCCAGGGGAGGGTTCGGATCCGTAGGGAGGACCCAGGCCGCAGGGGCAACAGCCCAGACACCTGGCAGAGACGGAGCTGAGACCCGTGGGAACTCGCAGTGGCAGAGAACTCTTCCAGGCATCGCAGGGCCAGCGTGTCATCCACAAGCAAGTCCAGCTTCAGGTAGACAGCCTTTCCGTCATCAAAGTGCACCTGGGGGCGGGGAGAGGGTGGCGGAGTCCAGGCCTCGCTTGCCCTGGTCTCCATTTCACATTTCACATTTCCTTGGAGACCCAAATGT